TATTCTGCTTCTCTTTTAAATGCTGGCCATGAACCATCATGACCCAGTAATGGGCTGCCACCTACAATTTCAAAAACACAGAGCAAGTCTTCCCCAGTATACTTCACCTAGGGTTTGTGATGAAATATAATGTTTAATGGCACAAATTAAAATTGTGTAAGGCAGTGAAAAATGCAAATCAATATTTTCATATACTGCCTTACCATAAAAGAACAGGAGTTTATTTATACATCCTTCATATTAAATTGAAACCAAGATATCAATTGAAGAATGTGATCATTATCCTTACTGGGCTTAAAAATACATGTTTTTGGCAGGGCGTGGTGGCTGACGTCTGTAATACCAACACTTTGGGAGGCCAAGGCAGGTGGATCACGAGGTCAAGAGATCGAGACCACCCTGGCCAACATGGTGAAACCCTGTCTCTACTAAAAATACAAAAAAAATTAGCTGGGCGTGGTGGCACGTGCCTGTAGTCCCAGCTACTCGGGAGGCTGAGGCAGGAGAATCGCTTGAACCCAGGAGGCGGAGGTTGCAGTGAGCTGAGATCGCGCCACTGCACTCCAGCCTGGCAACAGAATGAGACTCTGTCTCAAAAAAAAAAAAAAAAAAAAAAAAAATATATATATATATATATATATATATATATATATATAAAATTGGTAGTAGCAGTAAGATTTGTTTTATTTCTTTTATTTTACTTTAAATTCTGGGTTACATGTGCAGAACCTGCAGGTTTGTTACATAGATACACATGTGTCATGGCGGTTTGCTGCACCAAAAATATATCTTAATTCAGATAGAACACTGGTGTGTTTTGTGGTCTTGTTTTGGGTTTGTTTTTTTCTTTGAGATGGAGTCTCACTGTTGCCCAAGCTAGTCTTGAATTCCTGGGTTCAACTGATTGTCCTACCTTGGCCTCTGAAAGTGGTAGGATTACAGGCATGAGCCACTGCCCCCAGCCTAGATAAAATGTTGATGCAAAATTCTGAATATCTTCTGTGTTTAGGTATGTTTTACCTAAATTTAGAGACTCATTTGTGGCCATTAGCTGTAAGAAGACATATGAATGTCAAAAAAATAAATAAATGAGAACACAATAAACCTCATTAGGAAGTATTTTTGACACATGCAGCTTAACCTTAGCTGAGATGACCCAAAGGCAGAAAAAGTCATTGAGATGGTTACCATTTGTTTATACTGTTTGGTTTATGATTGTTGAACAATCCTAGGCTGTAAGCCTGACCAAGTTTCTTCCAGTCATTCCCATAAAATGAAAGGTTGCAGTATTTGTGGGCCAACAAAAAGCACGCAAAGCTTCTTTCACATTCATCCTCAAAACCCAATTTGTCTGAATCTATATTAGCATTGTTTCAAAAATGTCTTATTCTCAGTAAATACCTGTGAAATTCTTTATAACAGTATGTCTGAATGCAAATCCAAAAACTCGAGAAGGTAAAGAGGAGCAAGAGATATGACAAGTGCTAGGACTCCATTTTGGCTTTCCTACATCAGTACCACTTTCACTTTTGTACATAAGTGACTTTCTGTCTTTGGGGAATAAGGCAGCCATAAAATCATTTAGTGTTTAGCACCTGAGTGACTAGATGAGACCACCTGAAATTCCACTTAGGTTATTCAGAGAAAGGAAAAAGTTCAAAACAGAGAAAGAGGAAAATAGTAGAGAGGACAGCATAGACATACAACGAAACCAGGAATAAATGGAAAATGAAAAGGGGAACAGAAAGTATACTGTATGGAGTTATGATGAGGGTGCTAAAATATACATGAGGATTTTATTAAGCCACACTGATTTCAAAAGCTATACCAGTTCCATTCTTTACTTAAAAAGTCATCAAATCCACTATGAAAAAGTTGAGATTAGTGCACTGTCCTAAAACAACCCATATTTACTTCTGCAAAGAACTGGTTAGTTAAATGATGACATATTAGGTTGAACCATATGAAGCATTCCATATTGGACCAGTTTTGACCTACTGACAAAGCAGGATAGATGAGCAAGAACTGCTTGTGCTGTCTTAAAAATGATCGGGGCTGAGCGCCGAGGCTCACACCTGTAATCCCAGCACTCTGGGAGGCAGAGGTGGGCATATCACCTGAGGTCGGGAGTTCGAGATCAGCCTGACCAACATGGAGAAACCCCGTCTTTACTAAAAATAAAAAATTAGCTGGGCGTGGTGGCGCATACCTGTAATCCCAGCTACTCGGGAGGCTGAGGCAGGGGCAGGAGAATCGCTTTAACCTGGGAGGCGAAGGTTGCAGTGAGCAGAGATCACACCATTGCACTCTAGCGTGGGCAACAAGAGTGAAACTCCATCTCAAAAAAAAAAAAAGAAAGACTGGACTTTGAGCTAATCTTAGGGCCTACCTCTCCTCCAGGTGCTCCCATCTTACACACCTGTGCAGGGACACAGAAAGTATTTGTCTTTTTCTAAAGATCCTTCCCTTAATTCTCATCTGAATCATAATTGAAGACTTGGAACCAATGTTAAATTTAGTAGTTCTCATTCTATAAATTCCCCCTATTGCTCTCACTTTCTTCCCCGAGAATCAGTATATGTGATAAAAGACATAAATGCTGAAGTCTGTGACATACATGAACAGTCCGATTGCAGGAGATGGGGTATGAGGTTGAAGTTCACTGATCTCAGAAATCTTATACCCTGATCTCAGGTGTTCATATATGAAAATGTTGATGAACTTACATGCTCTCTGACATATGAGAAAGTGTAAAATGCAGAATTTCTGACATTCAATACACTTTTGAAATTCAAGCAATATTTCATTTCATAATCAAAAATTATCTCTCATCATGGCAAAATGTATATGCTAAATGTTTTTATTAGAAAGATAGAAAATCACAAATAATGTGCTTTTTAAATTTACTTTTAGGCTCCATAAGCATAAAATCTTAGCTATTACAATGAGCGCATGAAACCTATAAAATATAGTGGTAATCCCAACAAATTTGTTGATTGACATAATTCAATTCAATTTAGAGCCATCCCTAAGTTTTCTTTCGAACAGTATAAATCTACTGGTGAATCCTGATATAAGTATGCATGGAATTTTGACCATTTCATACAAACATGTAACATACATGTTTGTTTGTTTGCTTGTTTATTTAAGAGATAGAGTCTCATTTAATTGCCCAGGTTGGAGTGCAATGGCACGATCTCAGTTCACTGCAGCCTTGAACTCTGGGGCTCCAGTGATCCTCAGGTACCTTGTTTTCCCAAAGTACTGGGATTACAGGTGTGAGCCACCATGCCTGGCCTCCATACAATGTTTTTTTTTAACCTGCCATTTTGCCCATCATTAACACAGTTTTATGAACTTTTTTCAGAATTAATATTTGAAATGTGAAAAACACTTTTAGGAAAAAGTCCCTAACTTTTTAGCCTTAATCTTATAAAAACACATTAAATGCCATATTCTTAATTTACTACAAACTCAAAAAGTCACTATTAAAAGGAGTTACAAGATGTACTCTTAACTAAGGTGACTGAATCCCTAACTCTTTAATAAGTGTGTCTTGTCAACGGTTGTTCTTGTGTGTTGTTCTTACACATATGTATTTCAGAAAATAAGGAGGCAGGTTAATACAAACATTAATCCACTAGCTTTTTTTTGGACAGTCTAACTGTCATTGAGGCTGGAACGCAGTTGCGCAATCTCTGCTCGCTGCAACATCTGCCTCCCGGGTTTAAGCGATTCTCCTGCCTCAGCCTCCAGAGGAGCTGGGATCACAGGTGCGTGCCCCAAAGCCCAGCTAATTTTTGTATTGTTAATAGAGATGAGGTTTCACCATGTTGGCCAGGCTGGTCTGGAACTCCTGGCCTCAAGTGATCCGCCTGCCTCAGCCTCCCAAAGTGCTGGGATTACAGGCATGAGCCACCGTGACCTGCCTCCACAGGCATTTAATAAAAATTATGTTTCCAAATAGGAGTTCATTGACTTTAGGGAAAATTTTTTCATAAAAATAGGTGTAGAATGAATTTTTTGCAAATTTATTTTTAAAGACGGTACCCAAAGCCAATGATTTTATTGGTTCCCTTTTCAAATTCCTCATTAAAGTTCCCTACTGATAACAGACTCTGTGAAGATTTTTAAACTACGATAAAAATTAGAATATATAAAAATCCTTTATTGTCCATAAACATTTGCTTTGTGTATGTTCATGATCAAATTAAAAATTAACTTTGAGACCTCACAGGTCGACAGCACAAGCTCCATTAACAAGAGTAATACACCATTCTAATGTCCACATAGCACAGAGATAACTTTTCATTATTAAAAAGAACCACGGACGCATGGTTCTGAACCCTGCACTTGGCGGGAACCTGCGATAAGAAAGCCAGGCCAGCCCTTGGAGCCACGCAGGGTGCGGTTAAGCCGCGCGCACCATGTCCCACTGGCCTGCCTCGGGGCTTCTGCCTCCCAGACTGCAGCAGGAGGCAGAGAGGCAGGAAAGGCTGACCCGTGGCACCTTCCACCCACCCTCTCAGTGGGCCTAAGAGGGAAAGCAGCAGGGCTCACTGCAGCGCGGGCTGGTTGGCCAGCACACGCGCACGCTCCCCCGAACAGCAGGGAAGAAAAATTGAAACTCTCCTTTTAAGTTCCCTAAGTGGGAACTCGCGACTGCGCGTCAGCTTTTTCCCACGCTCCCGCCGAGCCGCGGGTTCCCTGCACCCGCCTCTGCCAGCCGAATTCCCTGGGAGCCCAAGCTCGCAGCCTCCCGCGCGCCAGCCGGGAATCCTTGCCGCAGCACCGCGGTCCAGCGACCCCCGGGCTCCGCCCCGTCCCGCCCCGCCCCGCCCAGCCCGCGCCCCAGGCCCCGCCCCGCCTCACCATCCCCACCATCCCCGCCTTCTCCGCCTTCCCGGGATCGCCCAGCGCGCTCCAGCGCTCCAGCGCCCCCGCGCCCTCTCCACCTCCCGCTTTCCACGCGGCCTTCAGGCCCGCCTCCTCCGCCCTACCTTGGTCCGGATCTGCCCGGAGGTGGACACTTTGCGGATCAGTTTCTGGGGTCCCTCTTGCTCCGCTTCGCTGTCAGACGAATCCTCTCCCGGCCCCGCCGAGGCAGCAGCGGAGGGGACCGCGGCGCCGGCTTCGGCGGCCGCTCCTCCAGCGGCGCCCGGAGGGTGGTGCTGGCCTCCGGCCCCTGCCATCCTCTCCGACTCCTGCAGGGACACAGCACCGCCCGCCGGGGGCGGCGGCGGCGGTCAGCGGGTGGGTTCTGCCCAAGCGGAGCCCGGAACCCCGCGCCCGGCCGCCGCCGCCATCTTCCGTTCCCCCAGCTACCCCCGCGGGAGAAGGGTCGCCCGGGACAGGAGCCCTCCAGGCAGGAGTCCACCCGGCTCCTCCGCCCGGTTCCCGCTGGAGCGGCGGCCACGATGGGGCGCAGGGGTCGCTGACCCCCCCCCCCCCCCCCCCCCGGGGCCCCCCCCCCCCCCCCCCCCCGCCTGGGACCCCTGCGCACCCAGCCTCGGATAGGACCAGCGCTGGTAGAGAGGATGGGGTGACAGGGTTTGGAACAACATCTCTTCCACTCCCTCTACGATCTGGGGGTCCCCAGGATGGACAGGAGGGTGGGGGAGGCAGGAAACCTCTGCAGCCCACCCCGCAGCGGCGATGCCCGCACACCCCCTCTCACTTCTGGGCAGCAGGGGCAACACCGATGCCTGGGGAAGAATGGAAACCCGGAGCTTCCTCCCGGCACCCTTGGGTGCACCCGCCACCTCCTGGACTCCAAATCTCTCCAGAGACACTTGGGCCTCGCCGCGTGGTTCCAGCTGAATAAAAGTCCCCTCTGCCCCCAAGACAGTCTGGCGCTGCCCCTCGTCGGTCTCCCGACCCCCAGCCCCACTCCGAGGACCGTACCTCTCCCGCCTCCGCCAGGGCCGTCCGATCCTCTCAGCTCTCCCGACTGCGGCGTTCAGTTTCTGGCCCACCCCCACCCCCATCCGGCGCACACGGAAGAGAAGAGCATTTTCCGGGAGGTTCAGCTCTGCTCTGAGAACTTTTCGTTCAGAAAGAGCGATCCCCTTCGGCTAACAGGAAACTGGGAAGGGCGTGGAGAAAGCGCAGAAACAAGAGACTACACGCAGCCCAAGACGACAGAATGCACAAGAACTGTCTAAGCTGAAGCGCTAACCGAGATTGCCTGGAAGAAAACAATACACTCGAGCCATGCGAACACCAGTACCCGAGACAAAAAGCCTTGGAAGTCCTGGCAGAGCCACTCCCTAGCCCGCACTAGAGCAAGAGGAAATGGGATCAACAGGCTGTAGCCACCGCGCACAACTCCCCTGCGAGCTGGCTGCGCGAGCACTTGGGAACCGCGGACTGGCAGCGGGTTGTGCACGCTCAACGTCAAAGAAGCCTCACAGGTGTGAGGGGGCTGCGGGAGAAGACACTAAAACGACAGATCCCTCTTGTCATCCAAAGAGAACACCAGACTGGTGTTAGCTATATTTTTAAATAGGACAAAAAGTCCCTGCTAGACTGTGGAGTCTCTGCACCTGGAGAAAGCGTTCAATCTCTGTTATCATGTTCATGCCTTTCAGTACCCATTCCTTTCGTATTTTTTCAGTTGACATGACCTTTAAGGTTCCTCCAAGCTAAGGTTCTGTTTTTTGGTTTTTGTTTTTTTAACTTGCAGTCTTACTCCCAACAAGAAATTTGACTTATTAGAGCTAACAGTTCTAAGAAGTTTTAAGAAATAGTATGCAATCCTAACACTGGACATCACATTGTAAATTAAATTCATTAAGATGTAAAATGTGTTTAGTACAGATATTTAAAGACAGCAGACTGCTGCTATGTAATAATAACAGAGAAGTTATTTCTGCAGCTATATTGACTCCTTTAGGAAAGGAAGGAGTTGGGCAAAATGAATTTTAAGAACGCTTAGAGCTCTACAAATGTGTAATTCTTTATCTGCAAAGAACATAGTTCTGGAAATTCTTAAAAGAGAAAAATAATCAAAATAATGGCCTTCATCCCCACCTGTTTGGTCATGGACAAGTCCAATATTTTGGAAACGTAGACAAGGACACGTAGTAAAGGGTCTTTTGAAAGAATAAACTTAGTTTAGTCCTCTCTTTTAATGTAAAGAAACTAAGGCCCCAAATCACAAACTGGGACCAAAGTCAAAATCATGCGGTTACTATTCTAATGTTCTATTCACTTTACCACACTATAACAAAAGTCAGTCTGTCAGTTACCATATACTTCTATTCATACTTTGTTTTATACAGCAACATTTTCCAGAATCCAGGCAGTGAGTGATTAAACTAAAAGGCATTATCTCATGCCCACGCTGATTTTGTGATTTTAAGAGGTCAGATTACACACCTCACCCTTTGATTCAGACACTGATTGCTTAAAGATACTTAAAAAGTTTCATATCCCAGAGCTGAGCCATTAATACCTCAGAGTAAAGGTATTCTTTTCTCATAAAGATTTAACCTCAGAGCCAGCTCTGCACTTCTGCAATCACCTCTTCTGAAGAGCCAGTTTCAACGAATCCATTATTTAAGATACCTGACTTACTACCCTCTTCTCGGTCTTATCTGTAAATTAGAAGTTTTTAGAATGACTATCTAATTTGTGCACTGTGTACCTGCCAATGTACTTCACCTTCTTTAAAAGTATTACAACATCAAGGTCTCAATCTTTCCAACCATTTCAGCCATGTAGCTCAAAATAGCAACTGAAACAATTTCAAATATGAGGTATCTTACATTATTTATTTGATTTATAAGAATTCTTTGATCTTTTCCTTATTTAGTGATTTCAGATTTTCCAATAATTGCTTAGATACATCTTACATTTTTATTGTTACTTTGAAATCTCTGTTCAGAACATATGACAAACACACTATTAAAGACTTGAACATAAGCTGTGTAGACACTGCATTTAGGATGAAATGGAAATAGGTGGTAGCTGCCCCTACATTAGGTTTTTACTTAATAGAGATCCTGGCCCACTAAAATAAAGAACACCTATTAGACTGAAGATGTGTAAGTTACAGCCAAATTTCATGCTGATACCAACTTTATGAATATTAGTGTATTATTTTCTACAGAGTTATTCTGAATTATATTTTTACTGATCACTACTCACAACAAAAGGGGTTTTATACCCATTGGCAACTTTTAAATCTCATATGTTCTATGGTTTTATCTTAAATATTATACCATAAATACGCAGAATGTTACATTTTATATCCTGAAGAGCTCAAGTCAGCACTTAAAATATAGCCGTGTTCTAGGACTTGTGTTCCTAATCAATAAGGAACCATGCAATCAAAGAATACTGCAGGTTGACCAAGTACAGGCATTGAGAAACTGCCTTAATTAAAACTTAAGAACACGCTATTTGCTACATATTCAGCATTTAACATTCAAAACTTTTAACCTATTACCATTTCCTTAGTTGTTACCTGAATGAAAAAGATTTGGGGATTAATCGTGATATTAACTGCATATACATATGGTCATCCTTGCACCTGAGGCAAAAACCTTTCATCATCTAGACCTAATGCAAAGATGTTTATAACCTCTCATTTGTATTTTGGCCCTATCCTCTGAAACTCTTTCCTTCCTAATTTTCCTTTAGACCTGGATACTTTTATCAGCACTAACTAGTATAAAACCATTTCAAAATAAAACAATTTTTTTTTCTTTTTTTAGAGACAAGTTCTTGCTCTCTTGCCCAGGCTGGAGTGCAATGGCCAATCACAGCTCACTGCGTCCTTAAACTCTGGGCTCAAAGGCTCCTCTGGCATCAGCCTCCCAGGGTAGTCACAGGATAGCTGGGACTACAGACATGCATCACCAGGCCTGGCTAGTTTTGTTGTTGTTGTTGTTGTTGTTTAGACACAGGGTCTGGTCATCTTCCCCAGGTTGGTCTCAAACTCCTGGCCTCAAGAGATCCTCCCACTTTGGCCTCCCAAAGTGTTGGGATTACAGGCGTGAGCCACTGCACCAAAAGCAAATTTTATAAGTGTACTCTAGCATCCCCCCACTAAGGACTACTTTGTAAGTACTTCCCCATTTTTGAAGTGTTGGCTAGAATTCTAACTACCTATTTTCCCCCCAGTAAGGCTTGTTTGGCTAAATATCTTTCTACCCACCCATGCCCACCACTAAAGTATTTTTTAATTGATTAGAAATTTAGGTTATGCCTCTATTTACACTGAAATTTGATTGCATTTCAAAGCTAGCATTAAAGAAAATACACAGAAACTTCGAATGCTAAAATTTATCTTCTTTAGGACAATGACTTAGCCAGAATAAGGCTGATCGTTTATTTAAATGGTTCACTTAACTAACTAACTTCAGTTCATCTCCCAATCGTGTCGTAAAGTTCAACAACGGCTCAACATGGCTGCATTTTAAGAAAGAAGTGCTGAGCCGGGTGCGGTGGCTCACCCCTGTAATCCCAAAACTTTGGGAGGCTGAGGTGAGTGGATCACGAGGTCAGGAGATCGGGACCATCCTGGCTAACAAGGTGAAACCTCGTCTCTACTAAAAATACAAAAAATTAGCCGGGCATGGTGGCAGGCGCCTGTAATCCCAGCTACTCGGGAGGCTGAGGCAGGAGAATCACTTGAATCCAGGAGGCGGAGGTTGCAGTGAGTCAAGATGGCACCACTGCACTCCTGCCTGGGCAACAGAGCGACACTGTCTCAAAAACAAAAAAGAAAGAAAAGTGCTGTTCTCTTTACTGTTTGTCATCATCAATTCCTGATACTGTGTTTGCTCTTCTGCCTGAATAGTTACATGCAGAATCACACAATCATGTTTTAGGTTCCATCAAAAATGAATAAGAACAGGCCAGGTGCAGTGGCTCATGCCAGTAATCCCAGCACTTTAGGAGGCTGAGGTAGACAGATTGCTTGAACCCAGGAGTTCAAGGCCAGTCTAGGCAACATAGCTGGGACTACAGGTGTGCACCACCATGTCCATCTATACAAGAAAATGCCAAAATTAGCCTGGCATGGTGGCAAGCACCTATAGTCACAGCTACTTGGGAGGCTGAGGTAGGAGAATTGCTTGAGCCCAGGAGGCAGAGGTTGCAGTGAGCTGAGAATCTGGCCCCTGCACTCCAGCCTGGGTGACACAGTGAGACACTGTCTCAAACAATGAGGAGAGTAAATGGTTACACGTATGCTGTTGTTATATGTACATGCCCTTATGTTATCCCGTAAGGGATAATGCAACAGGATCTGTGCATTATTGAACAGAATGAATATTAAGCATATTCAATATTGTTCAGTATTGAACATTTCTTTTCCTAAATGTAAATGAGCATACTTTTATGGTAAAGCATTAAGTTGCCTATATTTGAATTTAAAAAGCAAATTTGATAAACTCTGACCTGTAATCCTAGCTCTTTGGGATGCCATGTCAGGAGGATCCCTTAAGGCCACAAGTTTGAGACCAGCCTGGGTAGATCCCACCTCTACAAAAAAATCCAAAATGAGCCCAGCGTAATGGCATGTGCCTGTAGTCCTAGCTACTCAGGAGGCTGAGGCGGGAGGATCCCTCAAGTCCAGGAGTTCCTGGCTGCAGTGAGCTACAATCACAGCACTGCACTCCAGCCTGGGCAACACAGCAAGTTCCTGTCTCAAAAAAAATAAATAGGCCGGGCGCGGTGGCTCAAGCCTGTAATCCCAGCACTTTGGGAGGCCGAGACGGGCGGATCACGAGGTCAGGAGATCGAGACCATCCTGGCTAACATGGTGAAACGCCGTCTCTACTAAAAATACAAAAAACTAGCCGGGCGAGGTGGCGGGCGCCTGTAGTCCCAGCTACTCGGGAGGCTGAGGCAGGAGAATGGCGTGAACCTGGGAGGCGGAGCTTGCAGTGAGCTGAGATCCGGCCACTGCACTCCAGCCTGGGCGACAGAGCGAGACTCCATCTCAAAAAAAAATAATAAATAAAAAAATAAAAAATAAAAAGTTTTTAAATTAAAAAAACCTTTGAAATGGAGTCCAAGTCAAAGCAGGTGTTTCTAACCTGAGGTCCTTGAGGATCCAGACTGGTCTTAAAGAAATCTGTGATACTCTTGAAATTGTATTAAAATGTTTTACATATATATATATACACACACACATAAATACATATATAAAATATATGTACGTAACATGTATGTCACATTAGTGCATGTTTGAGGGAAAGAGGGTCCATAGCTTTGATCAGATTCTTGAAGGGATTGCTGACCCCAAAACAGGTCACAAATCCCCAATTCTGATGGATTTTGTGTCCCTTCAAAACATATGTAGATTAAACTGTCTCTCCATCCCCCTTACCCTTGCTCCAAATGCCTGGAAGATTTAACATTTAAACACTTTTTTCCCTAACGTATCCCACATTTATCTTTATATGCCACTTTTTAGTAATTTGGATAAATTGTCTTTTTTTAAGAAGTTAAATGAGAATTCCCCTCGTTAGTTCTTAGATGGACTTGGTCATATCTGTGTGACCACGGGGTTTAGAATAAAGTCGCTTGTAAAAAGTATTATTTGAATCCTCACACCCATGATCTCTGAATGTATTTTCTGTGACTTTCTGATTGTAAACCATTAACATATATGAAACAAGACATTCTGTTTAGTTAAGAACATCAGCTTTCTGAGGTCAAGGATCTGTCTCTCTGTTGTTGGTAACTGCTATCCAACAGTCCTGGAACACAATAGGTGCGGAATGAAAATAGGTGCAGAGCAAATGAAAAGGTCTTCAGTGTTTAAAGAAAATAAACTTAATTTTTAAAAGATGGTTCTGCAGTCTGGATAAAGTATTGCAGTCCATTCACACATTTATGTTAGGGCTCTAGTTTTAAAAGCTCCAGTGCTAAGACTGGAAACTGAATATTTTCTGTGGAAAATAAATGAGCATTTCACTTGTCACTTTAGAGAAGAAAAAAAAACTTCTTTCTCTAATTTTCTAAATGTCAAGTAGTTCTGACATCAACAGCCTAAAGGAAAATAACATACACCCGGATATTTCCATTGTGATTGGTGTTGGCTTAAAGTATCCAGGTTCCTACAGGAAAGTTTAAAAGTAAAGTCACTGAATTTAGTTCTCAATGATCTTTGATTTAAACTTCAAAACTGGATTGTATTTTTAATTTGGAGACTAGCTTAAGCCCCCGTGATAACCACAATGGAAGAAACCTGAGCAGATGGGCAACCTGACGACATGTTCAAATTCACGAAAACAAAGACAGCTGCAGATGCAGAGGGATCAGAGTCGAAGGACGCTTCTGAAAGGTCAGGAATCAAGCCGAGGAAACGTACTCTGAGCAAAGGAGCTGACAGCGTATATACTTAGAAAAGAAAAAGGACAGTCAACCCTGGCACCTGACCTAGCGGCTCTCAACAGGCAGAGGGCCGGCCTGAGCAGACTCAGAGTCCCTGGGAAACCAGCATCCGAACACGTTGACCGGAACACGGGTGAGGCCAGAAATTTCGGAAGGGGCTTTTCAGACTGGCTCAGAATGTCAACCAAGAGGGAGTAGCAAATATCGAGGCAGGGTGTGGAGAGCCAAAATTCGACGCCAGGGAAAAGGCAGCCCAAACAGGCTTCCAGAGCTCTGAGTGAGAGGGGGATTCCGGGGTGGAATCCCTGGAGGGATGTGAGACGGCTCTGTTAGAATCGGAAGAACGAAGGAAGTTGAGGGAGTTTGAGAGAACAAATCCAAAGCCCCCGGTCTCTTCCTCCTTATCCTTGCACACATAAGACATGCACACACACTACTCTTGGCTCCTAAAATTACTCAACCTCCGCGTTGCGTGTGCAGCGAAATCCCAGGCGAAAGCGAAGTCAGCTTTCAGCTTCGTCCCCGGCAAAACCCGTTGCACCCTCCAGACGCCCAAGCTTTAGCGGCTGGCAGGAGTCGGAGGCGTGGTTCTGGGCTCCGCGCCGCGCTCACCCTCTCCAGGCGCGGGTCCCCGGGAACCTGCGCGCCCAGGTGACGACCAGGGCGCGGTCTCGGCAGGGAAAACCGGGCTTTTCCGACTCCCCACGCCGACCGCGCAGCCTGGCTTCTCCTCTCCCCCGCCTACATTCCACGCTCTCAAAGCAAGTAAAAAGTTGAGTCGATGAAGCCGGGAAACGGTCCTCGCAGGGCCGTCGCCAGCGGTTCGCCAGCGGTTGCTCGGGGAGAGCCTCGATCAGCCGGACAAAGGCGCTCCAGGCGGCGCGCGAGGAGGAGCCCGGGCGGCGGAGGAAGCGCTGCCCCGGCTGGGAAGCAGCTGGGGACCTCATCCCGGGCCATTTCCTGAACGGAACCCGGCCCGGGCGGGGGGAGCAGAGGAGAAGCGGGAGGGGGTGGGCGCGGGCGCTGTACCCACCGGTTCCTCCCACGCTGGGCTGTGGGCGCCAGGCGCGGGGCGCACGTGCTGCGGCTCCATCGCGCCGGCCCGCGCCCGCCGGCCGCCGGGGCGCGCGGACCCGAGTCCCCGCCGCCGCCGCTGCGCCGGGGCTGCTGGATGCGCTTCCCTCGCCGCGGTCCCTCTCGGCAGCCGCCGCCGCCCCGACTCCCCGCCCAGGGCCAGCCACCGGCCCACCCGCCGTCTCCGGCTTCCGCCGCGCTCTCCCGCCCCCGCGCCGGTCCCTTCCTCCTCCGCCGCCTCCTCCTCCTCCTCCACGGTCCCGCTCCCCTGCGCGGCTCCGAACGGTCCGCTCCCCGCCGCCGCCGCCGCCTCCCACGGGCGCAGAATCCGCCCCTCGCTCCTTCCTCCGCCCCCGGCGCCCTCCCCTTTTCCTCCCCGCTGCCCGCCCCTCCCCCCCCGCCGCCCCCTCCTCCCGGCGGGCGGCCCGGGACGCACGTGACCCCCCTGTCAGGCCTTATAAGGCGCGGAACCGAAAGCGGCCGCCGGGTGGTCACGGGCACCGGGCGGCCGCGCGGAGAGGAGCGGCCTCCCCCGGGGCCGGGCGCGCGGAGAGTGGCGAGGAAAGCCCGGGCTGGGCTAGGCTGGCCACCGCGCTGGCGACGGGAGCACACACGGGTCCCGGGAGACGCCTCCCAGTGCCCCTGTCTCTCGCTCTTGCAGTCTCCCGGTGCCTGCAGCCCGCGCCCGCCTCCCTCCAAACGCTGGCGGCCCGCGCTGCAGGCGCCTCCCCTCCTGGGGGTGCTGAAGCTTGAGCGAAATCCCACTGGACAGTAACCGGCTTCAGCTGAGCGAAGACTCAGCCGCACTCCAGCTGCGCTCCAGGGCAAGCTGCGCCGGGCACGGTTTCTTCCTTGTGACGTTCTAAAGAATGCAGATGGGTTACCAACTACAGGAGAGGTTAAACTTAAGGGAGTGCTTTTTAAATTCATTATCAACGTTTTCATGGAAAGAACCGGCTAAGGAGTCGATCTGTCTTCCAGTTTTATCCCTAGACTCAAAATAGGACATGGGGTGGCTCTCAGTGAGTGCTCAATAAACAGCAGGTCTCCTCCTGCCCTTTGTAAAAGCGTTTCAGATAGCGTTTCGGATCATCTTGGCATTGAAAGCGATTTTCATCTAGTTCCAGTCCAAGTGTAACTGGCTTTACACAGGTTATTCCCCATCCTGGGCTTTCAGGTTCGGTCTTTCAACATCTTTTCAGGACCCTCAATCATGCCATCATGTCGAATGCATTCGCAAATTTTAAAAACAAATCGGCAAGTCAAAAACACTTAATTGATCTAGCCTGTCCCCAGCCCACTAATTCTTCAGGATCCTGCAAACCGACTTCTGTGCCTGCTGTTCCACGGGGACTGCACTGACAAAAGTCACCTCGTAGTTTTGAAAATCCCCTAAACCATTGGATATTATCCAATGCCCGTCTTACTTGACCTATTTGCGGCGTTTGCATTGTCGATCAGATTTTTATTTATTTGTGTATTTATTTTCAGACAGGATCTCGCTCTGTCGCCCAAGCTGGAGTACAGTGGCGCTATCCTGGCTCCCTGTATCCTCGACCTCCTGGGCTCAAGCCATCCTCCCGCCTCAGCCTCTCCAGTAGTGGGACTACAGACGGGCGCCGCAAAGTCCAGCTAATTGTTTTATTGTTAGTAGAGAGAAGGGGGGACTAGCTATGTTACCCAAGTTGGCCTCAAGCGATCCTTTGGTCTGGGCCTCCCAAAATGCTGGGATTACAGGAGTGAGCCGATGCGCCTGGCCCAGATTTTTATTCTTGAAACCATCCCTTCTATTGGCTCTGTGACACCTCGATCTCTGTGTTTCCTAACCTTTTCTTGCTCCGCCACTTCTTACATGTTGGAGAGTCTAAATGGTCTTGCCCTTAGGATGTCTCTAATGCTGCCTAGGCACAATGAGTGGTCTATCAGACCTTCACATGGCTTCAGTTACCAACCATGTGCTGATAACTCATAAATTTCCATTTCTGTCCCACATCTCCAGTTCTATAAAACAAACTTTTTACCAGAAATCTCTACCCAGATGTCCCACCGGTCTTAAACTCAAATTGACTAAAACAGAACTCAACTTTCCTGCCAGCTGGCTTTTCTCTCTAGTCTCATTCTCAGTAAATGTCACCACGATCCACTTAGTCACCCAAAGGAGAAATCTGGAAATTATCCCAGGCTTTTTCTTCTCTCATCTGCTGTCTGCCCATCCATGCACCTATCATTTCTGTCTGTCACCTTCCCTCCATTCCACCGCTGTTTGCCTAGTTTCAGGTCTCTTGTTTCAAGACCCTGAAACACTACATTACTCTCCTTATTAGTCTCACTGCCTCTAAGTGTGTTGCATCTCCACCCTTGCCATCTCACGCTGTGACTGAAGTAAGCCTTCTAAAAGACAAATTTTTGACCAAGTCATTCCCCACATCAGCCCTGCCAATGGCTCCCCATAGCCTGCAGGGTAAAGTCCCAATATCTTAGCCAGGGCCTAAGTCTCCAGTCTCTTTAAACACTGAGTTTCTTGCACCACCATTCCCTATTGGGCCACTTATTTTTATGCTGTGCGCTCACATGGAGTCTGCTTTCTCTTACTTAGCCTAAGTTTACCTGCTCTTTCAAGATTCACCCTGAGAGTCACATTCGTTATGAAATCATTTCTGACCCTGCTGCAGGTTAGAACTGATTTCACTGCACTTTCCCTACACTAAATGCCTCTCTCTCCCCCAATTATAATGCTTTAGAAGACTTTATTAAACTCAGTTTTTATGTATAGTCTTCTGATGGCAAGTATTATGACAGACTTACTTTCGTCTTCTTAGTTCCCAGTACAGTTCCTGACATTAGTAGGTGCTCAGTGTTTGTGGAATGAATTAATTATGTGATGTACCTTGAGTTATTATATTTTTGTGGCTTATAGAAAATCGTTTTCCCATGCATTATCTCATTTCATTCTGACAGTTCTGCAAAAGATATATTATTATCACCTTTTATAGAAATGGAAACTGAAGCTACAAAGGAATAAAGCAATCTGCCCAAGGTTCTACTGTATAAACTTCAGAGCCAGGACTCGAACTCAGTTTGCCCAGTTCAGGTCATTATATATTTGCCTGTTTTTTCTATGGTCTGAATGTTTATGTCTCCCCAAAATTCGTATGCTGAAATCCTCATTCCCAGGGTGATGGCATTAGGAAGTGAGGATTTTGGAAGACTGTTTGGTCATGAGGGTTGAACCCTCATAAATGGGATTAGTTCCCTTATAAAAGAGGTCCAGAGAGAGACTTTTCACTCCTTCTGCCATGTGAGGTTAAAGTGAGCAGATGGCTGACTGTGAGGAAACAGGCCCTCACCAGACAACACATCTGCATCTTGGACTTCCCAGCCTCCAGAACTGTAAGAAATACATTTCTGTTGTTTATTAGCCACCCGGTCTATGGTATGTTGTTACAGCAGCTGAAACAGACTACGACAGCTATCCATTGTTTTTCCCCTTAAATTCTGTTTTGTACGATTCTATTTTGTAGATTTTTGTTAGTGGTTGCCAAGAATATCTCTCCATCTCTTTATTTTAAACCAGTCTGAGTCATTACGTTTTAAGCGTGTCTTGTAAATAACACTTGAATTTTTATATTATTGACCCATTCTGAGTGTCTGCCTTTTAGTAGTCTATTTTCATCTGTTTTCATTTATCATGTCTGTTAATTAGAATAAAAAGTTGTTATAAGAAAGATCCTTCCCCCTGCCTCAGCAGACACACAGTGTTGCTTTCTCTCATGGAACAGTGCCAGGGTTAGTGGTCAGGTTGTTTGGGGTGGCTCCTTTTGCTCCACATTGCCGTTGCAATTTCTAGAGCATTGCCCTTATCTACAGGGTGAAAGCTGATTAGGGAGACCCTGTTAAGAAAGGAAGAAGAGAGCACAAAGGAGCAGAAACCCAACTGCCTAAGGCCCAGACCCAGAAGTGAGTGACCCCCCTTCTCACCTGCTCATATCCCAATGGCCAGAACTTAGTTTCTTGACTGTAGCTAGCGGCAAAGAAGCAGGAAAATGGGTTCACTAGCTGGCCAGCCATATCCCAACCACAATTCTATTACTACGGAAGACATAACAGATTTTGCTGAAAACTAGCACTCTCTGTTACATTATGATGACTATCTTTGGATTTATTACCACATTCTCATTTTGTATTCATTTCACTTTCTTTTTCTTTGCTTTTTTTTCCTCCTGTCTTGTCTTCCGTTTTATTGATTGAATTGACTGAATTTTCTTTAGTTTACTCACTTTTCTAAACACTTCTACTGATTTAAAATTTATACCTTCTGTTTCAATTCTTAGTGATTACCCTTAAAATATTAACATTTATACTTAATATCAGAGCTTAGTTAATATCTCCCCCTTCTTTTCAAGATCTTAAACAAACAACAGAAAACATTTTAACTCTCAAATTCCCCACATATAAACTATATATTACTGTCTAGTATTTTTAAATTCCCTCTTATTTTATATTCTCTTCTGATTAGCCATCATTGTTACTGCTTTTGTAGTTATCATCTAATTCAATTTGCCAAAATATTTTACCAATGTTTTCTCTTATTGCTTGTTTTTTGTATCCCAGGCTTTCCTTTTGGGCTCAATTTCCGTCTTGAGGAAGCACATTCTTTAGGAGTTCTTTCACCAAAGGTCTGTGGGTAAAATTTTCTACATATTTGTGTATCACTCTCACTCCATTTCCCTTATGCTTTTGAGTAATAATTTTATCAGCTAGGGAATTCTAAATTGACATTATTGACACTAACATTTCAAAGTGACTATTCCATTATCTTTGGTCATCTGCTGCTGTTGATTAGAAGTCTGCAGTCAGTCTCATTATCACTTACAGATTTTTTTCTCTCTCTAGTTAACGTTTTCTTTTTTCAGTTGATATTTGCATCATTGCATTGTGTCAAGGTGGGTTTTGTTTTTGGATATCTTGTTCAGGATTTGGTGTGCATTTTAACCTGAAGACCCAAATCCTTCAATTCTGGAAATTTATCAGCCCTTATATATTCAAATATTACTTACCCCACCCCCTACTCGATGCATTCTCCTCTGTTTTATCCTTCTAGAGTTCCTATTAGATGTGGGCTGGAGTTTCTCATTTTATCCTCCATGTCTTCATTTTTCTTTGGTATTTTCCATCTTTTTACTTCTCTTTGCTAGTCTTGGGTAATTTCCTCATATTTATTACC